CGCGACGCCAAGCCATCTGCTTAAAAGCTATTCATTGAAATCGAATTTTAAAATTTATCATATTTTAGGTAAATTTACTTTAATCCATTAATAATAACTAATGTTTGTCCGGTGGTCGATGTCCTGTCATTATCTTTATCGAAAACTAGCGACTCACACTCGCTTCGTTTCCATTTGTCCCTAGGTACGTTTTAACGGTTAGTATGGAATAAATAGACCATACTAATTTACTTTTCTATACGTAGTAGATATATAAGTACTTAAAAAAACTTCAAAAATCTTTCCCTATTTTAACTTGATCACAAACGCCGAAATATTCTTTATTTTTTACCAAAATTCCTATAAGGATATAATGATTTTTTTTGAAATTCCTTAAATTGAGAAATGATTTGTTTCATACAAACTTTCAATGTCTGAGAGAACCTAGCAAGTTTTCGAAAGACATGTAAAGTCCGTCAACCCGCACTTAGCTAGAATGGTGGACATCCCAGCAGTGGGATGTTAAAAAGAGCTGTATACTATATAGATAGGTTTATGTTATATTTTTGTGCTTACATTATTAATAAGCAAAATAACAAAAAAATAAAAACTGACTTCAAACAAAAGCACTAAAAAGTAAAAAATAACTGATTGGTAGTTTTCATTTACTATACATACCTAATCAAATATTTTCGAAGTCGGTGTGCTTTGCTTGGTATAGGCTGGCACCGATTTCGAAAATATTTGATTAGGTATTTATTTAATAGGTAGCTTTATATAGCTTTATTACTTAGCCAATTTCCTCCTTTTTGAAGTCGGTTGATAACTATATTTCGGACCTCTATAAAATACGTTTATTTCAGAGTGCATGAACAAATAAAAGCTAATTGATTTATAATGATAGTCATATCAAGGTATCATTAGTGTCATAGATAAATAGAACATCGCATGGGCCATAGATCGCTTAGCGAAATGAAGCGGTTATCGATGACGGCCCAATTAATCTTACTCAACCGATTTCAACTATCAGCCGGGCTAACCGATTTTATAGATTTTGTTATGTATGTTACCGGTAATGCTTATAATGATGGAGTTTTGTGAAATACCTAAGTAAAATAATATGAAGGTTAAAACAAGATTATTCTAAAAAAATGATATTTGATCAATTACAATTTGAAACGAATTGGCCTTTAAAGTATGTGCTTAATTTAAAAAACATCCATTGTTAAGTAAAATTATGTTTTTATTTACACTACTACTTACATTAGCGTGGGTAACGCTCAAGATGGAGAAGATTCCGTTAGGTTTTTGTGGATAGTTCTGGCTTCTCTAGATGATGAGTCCCTCACAACAACATCACATTTTTATTGGGTGACTATGCAGGTAGTTAGCGTAAATGCATTTTGTAAAGCAAAAAATATTTTATTTAAGCCCTGTACTATCCTAAAAGAGTTTTAACCCCATCCCCTATCGGTTGGCAGGTTTCACACATCCTTCGGAAACTAGTAAAGACTTCAGGTTTTCTCACTATGTTTTCCTTCTTCGTATGAATGGTAATTATGTTGAAAATGATTTACACATAGAATTTTCAAACATCTGTTCTAACAATCTACATATTATTTATCGACAAATATAATAGGATTTTTGTATAATTATAAGCTTTGCATATTGCTGCTAACAAATTAAATAAAATATGATTATAAGTAATATGTTTTCACATGAATCGGATATCTATGTTAGTTTTATGGAATCTGCAATCAATCTATTTGGAAAGATTTAATCTATTTTTTAAAAGAGAGAGAGAAAAAGAGAGAAAGAGAGAGAGAGTGTAAAAAGGGATAGTGCAAAATAATATCTTGATGACTTTGGTTTGGATTAGGTAAAGTTGTATAGGTATTTTAAAAGCTTTTATTCAATTTCTCATGTATCTATATATAAATAGGCAAAGATGAAACAGTTCAGTACATTTTTCTCCTCTGTTTGTCAACCGATTTTTTTTGTTTAGTAGCTACTAGTGACGAGCTTTAGTGTTATCGATTAAATTTTGGAAACATTTACATTTTTTATCAAATAGGTAAATTCTATTCATACATGTTTTCTGCAAACTTTCAATAGTTATTATGGTCGGATTTTTGCTAGATATATTAGATAGATAGATAGTAATATTTAATAATAATTATAAAAGATTCAAAACAAGATATCAAATAAAAAAAGTACTTTTTTATTATAAAGCTATTTTCGTATACTTTACTTGTAAAGCAATTTGTGTTTTCGTTTTAAACTTCATACCTACATAAATGAGCAAAACTTTGATGGGTGTTTTCTTTTTGTTTTATTTAATAAAAATGTAAATAACTATGTTGGGACATTAACACACAGCGTTATCTAGTTCCATGGTAAGCTACAAGGCTTGTGTTATGGATACCAGATAGTTGAAACACTACACATATAACTTTAAATACATACATTTTATAAATATAAACACCCTTGACTAGAGTACAAACATTTCTGCTCATCACACAAATGAATGCCCCCAGCGGGACTCGAAACCGCGACCGCTGGCACAGAAAATAGGCTCCCTCAAACTGAGCGAAACGTGTCGTCAAATTTCATTTAAAAGGCCATTTATTACAAGTAAAAACAGTAAGAGATTTGTTATATTTATTTCACATAATACTATTGTTTAGTTATAATTAATATCATTAGATCTATGGTTGAATAGAGGGGTATCATATGGGCTGTTGGTCGCTTAGTGAAATGACGAGGTTATTGATGGTGTGCCAATTAATCTTGCGTTACTGTCAAGGAACGACTTACGGTGAAATGATTCTACATACTCGTACATACATAAAGTAAAATCTATACAAATAAAACAAAACTAACTGAGCCGATTCTAACATTAAATATTTTTTGGAAAATCTTACTTAAATAGCCATTATTATCGATACAGAAGCCGAAGTTATCGTTTTTAGAATTTTTGTCTGTCTGTTTGTCTGTGACCGCATCACGAGAAAATCACTACACAGATTTTGATGGGTATGATGACAGCTGGTTATCCGGGTCAACATATAGGATACTTTTTACTGCGGGAAAATATCTCATCTCTGAGAAATCTATACTAAACGTTAAAACGTAACTAGGGATGAATCCGAGCGGAACGAGGATGAGTCGATAGTCTCTATATAAAGTTATAGTAAAGTCATGTATGTGTATAGATTATCTTTGAAAAGTATCAGAATTTGAAGATAAGAGAGAGCGTAAGAAGCAAAATCTTTAATAATACGATTTCAAACGGGAAATTGTGTATGTGTATATGTTTGTTACTCTTTAACGCTGAAACTGCTGGACGGATTTGGATGGAATTTAATACATAGATAGACTTCCTAGAGTAATACAGACGAATGCAAGGTACCTAGAGACGCGTCCAAGCAAGGTTAAGTTATTAGTAATATATGTAGATATACCCGATTGAGATAATTTGGTAAATTGTTATTTACTCACGTAGCATTTAACAAAATATGTAAAAAATAGTAGTAAAATCTATGTCCGTAGATGACGCTGGATTTGCAGAGAATAGTCTGAATACAAGACAGAAAGCACCTGGATGAAACCAGGGAGTGTCTTTAGTAATACAACAAAACTATCCCGCGGTTTTGCTTGCGTTTTTATGTATGTATTTTCACTTACTTTGCTTCGGGTCGTAGTGTGTATTTCATAACCCAATTCTACAGCTTTATAGTAATAGTATAGATATTTTAATAAATTCATACATATTTAGATAATTGTATAAACATTTTCTATGACAAAAATAAATTTTATATATATTATATATAGATATTTTTTATTACAAAATATTTACTGTACAAAAAAGCTTATTATATTATATGTATATAGATTTCAAGCTGTCACTTTATTTTATTTACTTTTACACAGTTTTATCCTCCAAGCGTGTGATGTCACCAAAGCGACCCTTCACTTGAGTGCACCTTCTCGTTTTAAGAGACGACTTTTAAGCCTTAAGATGTTTGTTTACTTTATGACTTAACGTTTTTTCGGACCCTTTGAAGGATTATCACGATATTACAGAACTCGGTATCTGTATTTCGGAGGGTCTAATATCTCAAGTTTTACTTGTTAAATACAATACCTGGTGTTCAATAAAGATAAGGTATAAAAAAAAAGTTTTTTAATTATTTTATATTTTATTTTTTATATATAAAAGAAAGAAAAAAATTGTTTGAGTGTAAAATTTATATATACAATATTTCAATTTATGTGTCCAAAGGTTTATTAAACACTAGCGGCTCACTTCGCTTTCCTCGTATTCGCCTCAAGAAAAACAAGGAAAAACAAAACAAGTTTCCTTAAAAAGCATTCTGTAGTTTTTACGTGGAAGAGTAACTAACATCCATACATCTATACATGCAGACATCCATACGTCCTCACAAACTTACGCATTTATAATATCAGTGGGTTTAGTAGGGTATTTAAAAAAAATTAATAACTAAATCTATGAACTTTTGATACGTAAGTGTAATTAATATTGATTTGGCGCCAACAAATCACATCAACTATCCTTTATGGTAGATTTTGAAATGAAAATGTTTTCTTTTTATTCGGTGGGATATACTACGTTGAGGATAATTTGACCTATCCTAATAAAAATGACTTATTAAAATCGAAATATTCTCTAAAATGATACAAACTTCCTTCTTTCGTCGGTTAAAATACAAAAAAATATAAAAACTATATATATATATATATATATATATATATATATATATATATATATATATATATATTCTCAACAAAATACTATAAATATTAATTTAGAAGTCTATTTGGCAGCTCAATCATTCTTTAAATCACATGCTTAAAAACTCCTGATAATAACACTAATACGTACATTTTTGAATAAAATATCTTCACAATACACGTGAAAAATATTTTCATTCATGAAAAATACATAATATTTTCTACATTTTATTCATTTGTTACAGAAAATTGAAAAACCAATCAACATGTCGGGGAGGGCCCTCATTCTATTGGTGTCTATATCAGTACTGAATATCGGTAAGTTATTTTGGTATTGAAATACATTCGTATGAATGGATATTGAAGTATTATGACAATTATTCATTATTTTGGGAACGATTCGAAAATAATTGGAGGACGAATTAAATTGTGAGTGAGGCGAAGTACAAAGAAAGATGGATTTACAAGTTGGTTTCTATAGGACGAAGGAATTTTTGCTTTGTTATAGATTTTTATTAGTTCTATGCTAATAGGTTTCTATTATAAATGGGAATTTGTGATTGTTGTTTTATGATCTTTTCAAACAAACATTACTTGCTTAAATTAACGCGAATATTTAATATTATAAAAAATATATCTTTGTGGATTTTTTTGCGGATTTATTTTGATTTTTGATTCCCGACATGTCGAATGTTTTACAGCAAATATTTATAATGTTAGTGTACCCTTCATCTTGACTTTTTAAGTAAGCGAGAGAAAGTAACCTTATTTCGTTTTCCGTTTTAGTAATAAGTATTCAATTTAGAATGTGTATGTATGTATGTGTATATGTATAGGCAGTGGTAGCTCAGTGGTAACGCGCTCGCTTGGGAAATTGAGTGAAGCGGGTTCAAATCCCGGGTCTCACACCCCTGATATTTTCATGTGTGAACTGTTTCTAACATGATTACAACTTGCCTTACGGTGAAGGAAAACATCGGAGGAAACCTGGATGTCTGAGTCATGGTGAGAGATAAGGCGCAGGACCAATGGCTTACGTGTTTTCTGAGGCACAGAGGTGGGACACCTTAAACTACCCAACTCCAGGCTGTTACTGAGTAATTCGTGATATAAAAGCCTAATAACTATTTTGACCCAATCTGTGATTCGAACTCAGGACCTAATGATCTCCAGCCGTTTACACTAGACCAATGAGTTCTACCATACTATTAAAGTATTTACTCAGCAACCATTAAAATAAGTAAAAACCTGAAAAGAAAAAACTTTAAGTTAAAAAGACTATAAATCCTATTTACGTTACATAAAACTTAAGATGGAAGATAAAAGCTGAATGGAAGGTTATTGACCTTACAATAATGTAGCATATTGTTTGAAAACTATGGACTGACGAAAATATTATAAAACATCTTACAGTTTGTTTATTTTGTGAAATATTGAAGAAAGTACTTTGGTGAATTTTTTACTTTGTTGTATTTTTAATTAATTTCTATTATTGGACGATATGTTTGGTTCAGTTTGTAATAACCCTACTTGCTGTGCCAGCGGTCGCAGGTTCGAGTGCTGCTGGGGGCATTCATTTGTGTGGTGAACACGAATGTTTTTACTCCAGTCATGGGTGTTTATATTAATAATATGTATGTATTATTAATGATGATAATTATGTAAAAGTTATATATGAGTAGTGTATCAACTATCTGGTATCCATAACACAAGCCTCGTAGCTTACCATGGAACTAGATGGTGCTGTGTGTTAATGTTCCAACATGTTTATTTATTATTTTATTTATTTATTATAAATACGCTCGTATATAGTTTTGGTCACTTTAAAAATTGTAAAAGGTAAATAGAAGATCTAGATAATATTATCTGGATGGTTTATTTAGATATGGTAACATTTGGTATACGTAGCCTACAGAATGGACTAAAATAGGGTAAATTATAAGGTAGAATTTTAATTTTTATACTTTAGCAGATAATGTTTTTGAAAACTAATGTAAGACCCACTAATAGCTTTACGTTGGGACATAAGCTAGAGAAATAATGCAAGATATACACAAAGTGATTTGGATTCACTATAGATCTCTCTCTCTCTCTCTCTCTCTCTCTCTCTTTCTCTATCTCTTTCTCTCCCTGTAAAGTTATTTAAATAACTTACGAAACGCACACTTCTATTGGCCGATAATATCCCAGTGTTAATAATAAGTATGAAGATTCTATGAACCACAAAGCACATTTTTACGTCCATTTATAAGATTAGGATAGGAAAGACGAGTAAAAAATAAATAAAATATTTTTTAACAACTTGAATGAACAAAGCAATGACCGGTATAGGATTCGTCTGGCTACTTTAAATAGACACCTTTTTAATTAAAAATATGTATGCCATCGTTTCTCTAGCTCACCATTCGTAGCTAATATCTATACAGATAAAATTGAACTATTTGTTACTAATTCAAAATAACAGCTTTTTATTAAATGTATAAGAAATTATATACGATACTTATAAGAAAAACACAACATTTAAAATGTTTGTCTGTCTTTTTGTCTGTTTGTCTGTCTATCTGTTTGGTTGTTTGTTCCGGCTAATCTTCGAAACGGCTGAACTGATTTTAACGGGACTTTCACTGGTAGATAGCTGATGTTATGAGGTATAACTTAGGTTAATTTAGTTTTAGAAATAGAATAGGGGCACACCCAAGCGAGCCGAGGGTAAGTCGCTAGTTATAAGTATTTAACAAGTTTCATGAATTTTGTAATTTAATACTTATGGATATGATTTGTTTTAACATCGTAAGTTTAGTAAAAGCTAATAAGTATATATTTTAATGTATATTTTGTAACATTTTTCTGGAAAAACTTCTTGATATGAATTTATTATGACAAGCTTATAAAATGTTCATTCATCATTATAAAGATCTCTAACAAAAACTCTAAAAAACACTTTAGAATCTTGTTTTAGTTTTGAAAATAGTATTTATTGATGGAAAAGATTTTAGAACAGTTTAGAATAAGCAAATGAAAAGATATATTTAGAGTAATATTGTAAGCTAAATTATTATAACAGTTTTCTAAGTTCGATATTCGTAGCTTTGAATAACAATACATACCTAATATTTGACGTTTAGAGAAAGCGAGTACGATTCCTGCTTCATTCTGTTATGAAAATGTTCTATGGTTTTGCAAAAAACCATTCATTCAATACGTGCCTTTCTGAATGAAACCATATAGAATAAATAATATTTTTACTATGTTTGTTTCATTTCATTCTTTTCGTCTTTCTTTTAGATTACTCAAGCTCGTTCATATTTGCAGATGTCTATAGACGACAATAACCACTTACCATCAGGTAGAAAGTTTACTCACTCTCTTATTTAGCTATTTTATAGCTATATCTATACATTTAATAAAATTGTAACTGAGCCGAATCTGTTTATTAAATCTTTTGGAAAATCTTATTGAAATAGACATTATTATCGATACAACGGCCGAAGCTATAGTTTTTAGAATTATTGTCTGTCTGTCTTTGACCGCATCACGAGAAAACCACTTCACAGATTTTAATTAAATTTGGTACGATGAAAACTATTTATCCAGGTCAACATATGGGATACTTTAACTGTGGGAAAATATCTCATCTCTGAGAAATCTGTACTAAATGCTTAAACGTAACTAGGGACGAAACCGAGCGGAGTGAGTGTGAGTCGCTAGTAAATAAATTATTTCCTTTTTAAAAAAACTTTTTGTAACTGCATATATCTACATATTTAGATGTATTTATCTTATACTCGTAGTCCAATGGAACAGCAATCTTTCATGAACAATGAGAGATTAGGCGGAGGACTTCACATTATTTTAGGTTCTTAAATTTGTAACTCCACCAACTTTGAATTATTATCATCGTGATTTTTCCTTGTGATTGACGCCAGAAACTTTCTGAAATATAGAACTAGTGGAACCCGCGGCTTCGCTCGCGTTTACTCTACTTAAAAAACTCTTTTGCTTTATTTTATACAGCATATTTATAGGGTGCGGGGGATAGAAGACTCATTATGAAATTGTTGCATTTTTTTTTGGATTAAAACAAATTTATGTAAATTTAATTAACCATTATTAATTATTAACATCAATTAATTAAGTAGTAGGTATTTACTAATCGACTCAATACAACTTTTAAAATACAAATAAAATCTCCAAAATTTAAGTTATAAATAATAATTAACTTTAAAGATAAAAACAATATGGTAATCAACTTTGACACAAATATTAAAATTAGTGGATAGGTTATCATTATATATCACCAAAAGCAGTTTAAAAATCATCATCAATTACGAAGTCATACATTTTAATTTTCCACATCTCACACAATATTATTTGAATGATGAACGAGTTTCCTGGAAATACAATCAAGTATGATTTGAATTTAGTATTATTGTAATTTTTTAAACATTTACAATAATCATCAACTGAAACTTTATCAGTCACTTTTTTTATTTTTGTATTAATGTAAATAACTTTCAATAGAAAATACACATGAATATAATTTTAACGCTCGTCAACGTCCTGCCGCGGAAGATTTTCGCTCACGCGGACAAAACACTTTTACCTAGTCCCACTACTGGCGTCGTCCTAAGGTCTGTAGAAGAGGCGCTTCAAATTACAGAAGAGCGCTAAAATCAGGGACTTCTCTAATATAGCGTAACCGGGGCATGTATCCCACTGGGGCGACTATCCGGGTTTTACCCTATAATATTAAATAATTTGGATATTGTTCATAAAAAATACTAAAATCGCGATTTAAAACTGGAAGGTGCTAGTATGAGCTGGTAGCTTATCACATACCTACTAAATATACAAAAAAAAATATTAAAATCAGTCAAGCCGTTTCGTAGGGGTGTGACCATAAATACCGTAACACGAGATATTTATATATTAAATTGAATCAATTTAGAAATATCTTCGCGTAAACCCCAATTTAACATAGCTTCTAGCTCGCTAGCTTAGTTATTTTAACCACTCAATCGCTTGTTATACGTAAGCAGTTAGTAGTTAGTAGTTAGATTTGAAAGCCACAATGACGGTGTTCAATTTAGAACACGCAAAGTTTTAATTACGTGACGAAATTAATTTGAGATTCAGTTTGTAGCAATTTATGTCCCCATGTAGTGTTTTCGGAACCTGCCAATATTACTATACTATTGTATGAAATAATAAACTTATATAACTAATATAAATAATAACAAATATATTCGGACATTAACACACAGCATCATCTAGTTCCATGGTAAGCTACGAGGCCTTTGTTATAGATACCAGATAGT